CGAGACCATAAATACTCAGTTTACGAGTTACTGACGATTCGGCTCGGAACTGATTGAAATGAGAGCCGATTGTTATTTCCTATTCTATCTTTGCCGACTGATTTATGATACAAAAATACTTTTATTCGAGTGTTTACTTAAAAGGAAAAGATAAAGAATTTTATATTGAACTTGTGATTGATTTTTGTCGCCATTTTTGCAACATATCAAATACTATATCAAAACTACATAGTTGTGTACGTGCTTCAAATGAATAAATCTTAGATTATATAGATAAAGCATCGAACTTAAAAAATGGGCCAACTTTTTGTCAGCTAATTGTTAAATTAGCTTGCGTTGTATCGTAGCACGAAATGTATCATAAGCGACGACGAGACGAGACGAGAGGCGTGAATTTACAGGATATAGAGCAGTGATTCTCAACCTTTTTTTTTGTTGCGGCACATATTTAACGATTTCAAAATTTGGCGGCACACAGAGAAAAAGATAAAAATTATTTACTTACTACAACACACTGCATAAATAGTTTATGACAAAAATTTTAAATATTTGCAAAATTTGGCGGCACATTTTTAAAATTTGGCGGCACACAAAAGTACCGCGGCACAGTGGTTGAGAATCACTGATATAGAGGAATAACAAACACCTGAGTCCTCAGGAATGGCAACGCATGGGGGGTATCATGGGCGAAACAGTATACTTCTATTATGTCCATGTTACTGTTTATGTCTTTAGGCGACGGTAATCACTTTTAATCAGGTGGGTCGTCAGCTTGTTGGCCATTCTGAGTTGCATAAAAAAATAATCTATGTTTGATAACGGAACGATTGAACACTGATATCGATTGGAAATTTAATTAAAAAATGGAACGGCGGTTTGCTGGCCACGTTTCTGAGCTGAACCTTCTGTTCAGCGCTTTTATATTTGGGAGTATTGACTATAACGGAGTATAACGATAGCTTATCGGGTTTCGTTTAAAATATTGCTCCACGTAAATATTTTTATACAAATACAAGAATAAAGAATTTTCTTGTATTTACGATCTTATATAGAAGACATAAGAACCCACTTAGATAAGTGTTATCTACTGCTATTAAAAAAAAAAAACATAAAAGATCATCATATCAGCTTTTAACTGTCCACTGCTGAATATGAGCCGCCTCTTGGGGGGTTATGCCACTAGTTGCCACGCTTGGCAGGCTGATTGGCAATCGCAGTTAGGCTTTAGGGATGTTTTAAGAGGGACGCTGCTGCCCATCCCTCTTCTTCTCTTAGTCGGCTCTTACGACACTCACGGGAAAATAAGGGGTGGCCTAATCTATGCCGGGACCACACGCCTTAAGATAACATTTTATATATTTAGTAGTAGCCTGCCAAAGATATTAGAAGCGGCTCAGACATATCTAGAGTCGGGTTAAATACATTTATTATAATTTTGTATGTTAGCACACTAGACTTATAACATTGATTTGGCTTTTACTGTTATAACGTTATAATTATTTTTAGTGAATAAATAAAATAAATAAAAAAAATTAATTTATTATTATATAAAATATTTCCCACTCATTAAAAATGAATGGAAAATATTTTGCCCGAGGCGGTAAAACAGCTACATAGGGCCTGGATTTAAAGGCTGCTTTATTGGCTTGCACGGAAATGGTTAGCTGATCAGCTATTCTCACTGGGAATAAGCCATAATGCAGTATCCGGTTATCCGGCCCAACCATAATCCGTTCTCCCCTCTAGTAAATTGTGCATCGAGCTTTGCTAAATACTCGAGGTACATCGTAAAGTTAGTCACTCAGTGGCTTAAATTTTATCGTTGGAAAGTTATAGCTGTCGTTTAGTAAATTACACAATTAGTCTAAAGTAAAAAAGGGTTGTTTACACTACCAATTAAAGGTAGATATTGCAATATAGATAGATAGATAATACCAGAGGGAGACTTTGTACAAAAGTCGATTGCTTGGGTACCTCTGCCCCATTCGTGTTTCAATCGTGAAGCAGCTGTGTTTGCATAGCTGTGTTTCGATTTGAAGGGCGGGATATGGCGTGAATTTACAGGGTACAGAGGAATAACATCTGAGTTCTCAGGAATGGCAACGTATGAGGAGTATCATGGGCGAAACAGTAAACTCTGTTATGTGCATGGTACTGCTCATGTCTATAGGCGACGGTTGCCACTTTCCATCAGGTGGGCCGTTTGCCATTCTAAGATGTATTATAAAAAAATCAATCTGGAAATATATCCTTACGGATAAAAATTTTTCAAATCGGAAACTACCGACCGAGTTACTAGTATGAGTTACTTTCTACCATCGTACGGTTTGCCATCGACAGGGAGTTCGCCCTCATACCCTACAGCCTAGATGGTCGAGTAGAACGCGGTTTCAAAAATGTCTTCTCTCACGAACACTCAAGTTATGCAATGAGCTCCCTGCCGAAGTTTTTTCAACAGACTACAGCATGGGGTTCTTCAAATGGGGGCTTTATCAGGGTCAGCAACGCGCGCGTAATACCTCTGGTATTGCAGACGTTCACAGGCTACGGTAATCGCTTCCAGGTGGGCCGTATGTTTCTGTGCCACCTCAGTGGTATAAAAAAAATGAAGTAACAAACATAAAAAAAAAAACTATTGAATTGAGAAGTCCTCCTTTTTTGATGTCGGTTGAAAATTACTTACGCGCTGTTGTAACCTTAGTGAGGATAAGCATTTATCACGCGGTAATACGCCAACGCGTGGGCAACTGGCCTACTCATTTCTCTATTTGTTTCTTTGTTTTTTGTTTATTTCTGTTTATTTGCGCGAACTAATGAAACTTAGCGTTATTATGGCTGTTGAATTATTCAACGTATTCAACTTGGATACGTCATAAATGTAAACTGTTTTATTGTTAAGATTTTCGTAACTGTATATTTTATTTTAATGTATGAATAAAGTGGTTTGACTTACGTCTACTACTTTACTTGTCCATGCGCTGCGGTCACATTCGCTCACGATCAAGGGTCCCGGATGGTCCCGAAACTAGTCGAGTATTCTCGACTAAAGTACATGTAAGTCAATCCTATTGTTTTTACATTAAAATGTAATGTTTAAACAGTCTTTTTTACACATGGAGCTTAACTTTTAGGTAGTTGTTGTCGTAGGTATAGCCTACTATCTTAAGATTTTGCACAGTGGTGGAGCAAAATTTAAATTAATGTGGACATGATACATCTCACGTTAAACCTTTTGACAGCGTAAAAAGATGGTAGATAGGTGGTAGGATAAGTAATAATTTGAGTCAAAAAAAAACTAAAAACAAATACGCGCGGCGCCAGGCCTCTTAGATAGCAAGGCCGTGGGCGGTGGCTCTAGGGTTGCCAACTCTCGAAAGGACCAACCTGGGAGAATTTTATCGAGGGCAGGAGGAGGTATTAAAAGAACATCATTAATTAATTTTTAAATTTATATCTATTTTGTTTTCGGGTAGCATCTGGCGTGGGCGATGCGATATGAGCCACCACATCGCATCGCCCACGCCACATGCTGATTTTGTACCTTTTCCCTGTTTCCATACATTATTTTCCAGGGGCTTTTTTATGCAACTTAGAATGGCAAATAAGTTGTCGGCCCAGCTGACGAAAAGTGGTAACTGTCGCCTATAGACATGACCAGTACCATAAATATAACAGAGTATACAGTTTCACCCATGATAGTCCTCATGCGTTGCCATTCCTGAGGATTAAGTTTTTTTTTTAATGGATGATAATGGAATGGTAACCCCACCCGCGCCATCGGTATACCCCGGCGGGGCACCAGTGAAGGATGATAGGGTATAGTCCAGTAATTATAAACATTTATTATACCAGAGGAAGATTTCGTACAAAAGTCGTTTGCTTGGGTACCTCTGTCCCATTCGTGTTTCAACCGTAAAGTAGTTGTGTTTGCATGGCTGTGTTTCAGTTTGAAGGGTGGGATATTGCGTGAATTTATAGGGTACAGAGGAATAACATCTGTGTCCTCAGGAATGGCAATGCATGGGGGGTATCATGGGCGAAACAGAATACTCTGTTATGTCCACGGTACTGCTCATGTCTATAGGCGACGGTTACTACTTTCTATTAGGTGAGCCGTCAGCTTGTTTGCCATTCTAAGTTGTATAAAAAAAATATTATAAGTGTACATATAAAAAACTAAATATCTTCATGAGCAGTTATGAATTATTTGTAATATCGATTCTAGAATGCGTAAATTTGCATTGTACCTTTTTTAAGAGATCCTCCAAGAAATACAATAATTTTACTGGAATTTCATTAGTAGGAGAGTCGTCTCTCAAACCAAGTCCGTTGTAAACAATATTAAAATGTTTCTTCTGTTCCGAAACCTTGATTCGTGGATGTCGTAAAATATCCAATTAGCGGTACAACCCCTCTTATTTCGGCTAAATCGGCACTTTTTAATTAATTAAATTTTCAACATCCTTAATTCCTTAAATCCAAGCGCAGATATCAGAATTTGTGTTGAAGGGCAAGTCATGTACTTTTCCAATTTTGAATATAATTTCTGTGGAAAGTTTTTGGGCTGTTTAAAAAACAGTGGCAGTTTAAATATACTTTCCAATTTAATTTTATGTTTATCTTTCTATTTTTAATTAAAATAAGCGTGTATAAGAGAGAGAGAGAGAGTAGTATTGATGTTTTCAGTCGTATGTAAAAGTTTGCTTAATAATCGTCGAAAGTAATGAAAGTAAAAAAATATAAGAAAACGGAAAAATATATTTTTTTTAATCGACTTCAAAACGAAGGAGGTTTTATTTTTTATTTTCTTTTATATAATTTATTATATAAAAAATATAATTTAATATATTTATTTTTTATGTTCGGTTGTATTTTTTTATTTGTTACCTTATAACTCAGTCAGTTGTAAACTGATTTTTGTCTAAATAGTTATACTTACAGATTGGTACCATAGAAACTTTATCAAATTCGGTCCTAGTGGTTTAGTTTATAAATCAAAGTAACAATTGAATTCTGTTTTATTCATGGAACACAATCTTAATTATTCAAAAACAATACTGGAAAAAACTAGTCACATTTATATAATAATGAATGATAATAGAATGGTAACCCCGCCAGTGCTGTCGGTATACACTGGCGGGGCACCAGTGAGGGATGATAGGTGAGAATGAAAAAGCAGGTCAATTAGCCCATTGTAATGAACACACCTGAAATTCAATACGATAATTTCCTGGAGAGACCACGTGGATAGAATTGCAGACATTGGCAGCAATGGGACTGGTAGCCCGCATTACTAACAACCCGTCCCCTCTTAACTAGCTACATTAGTTTCTTGTGCAGAGAAAGAGAGAGAATTAAATGTAGGCCTTTGTCAACTGACAGAAATTGTTCATACTAATGTAGTTATTGTGTAGGGTACAGTTTATATTTGCTCATAAATATTCCTTTCGAGCACGCTGCTTTGTATTACCAATATTCGGGTCTCTGGGGCTAGCACTCAATGGGAAGTGGTTAAATTTCAATTAAAATGCATGTCGCACTGCGCCTCTTGTTCGTGACAACCCTAGCGTATTATAATTATTCTACTGTATTATGTACACTAACTATAGTTTTATTTATTTTATAGGATCACCAACATAAGATACTGTGAAACATGTCAATACAATACACTAGTGGAGGGGGAAAAGGATTGTTAGCAATGGAGTTTGACAGCCCCATTGTTAGCAATATACCTTATTAGATCGACTTCCACGTGGTTACCCCTGGAAACCATCGTGAACAATTCTTGTTGAATTCGTCACGATGGGCTAACTGACCTGCTCCATCCTCACCTATCATCCTTCACTGGTGCCCCGTCGGTGTATACCGATAGCGCGGGTGGGGTTACCATTCCATTATCATCCATTAAAAAAAATACACTAGTGGATTATGGCTAACTGTTTTCACATTTAGAGGCAACCATAGCATACTTTTTGTTTATCAGCCAAATTGTTTAGAGTAATCGCGTGTAATGTAACGGATTAGATACAAGTATTGCTTCAATATAGACATCATCATTACCAGAGGGAGACTTTGTACAAAAGTCGTTTGCTTGGGTACCTCTGTCCCATCCGTGTTTCAACCGTCAAAGCTGTCAAACCTCATTATTAACATTCCTTTTTCCCCTAAATTGATTTCTGTTTATAATATTTACGGGTGGAACATTTAAGACGTTATAAACAGAATTTAATGACATTTCTCTTGGACCATTGTCCGGTACGGAATACTAGTTAGCATTGGTATAATAGTTACTCTTGTTTACTTTAACTTCCGAGTCGTTAACTTCGAGGTCAACGAACTCTAGCTATAACTTTCGAAGTCAGATATAATGACAAGAGAGAACTATAAAAATAATACATGAAAGTTTACAAATCTAAGTTGAACATAATAAGAACACTGTAATTTAATAATAGAATTATCAATAAACCAATGCAGTGCAATATTTTGCTAAATCAGTCATAAATATTTTTATGTACTTTTTTATTTTTATTATTGTTATAAATTAATTTAATTTATTTAGAAAATCAATGCAGTTATCTTTAAATAAAATTACAATAATATTATACATTCCTGAGTCCTTAGGAATGGCAACGCATGGGGCGAAATATATTATAGGCGAAACAGTACGAGTATGCCTACACACAATACAATACGACTATTATGTTCATGGTACTACTCATGTCTATAGGCGAGGGTTACTATTTTCCATCAGGTGGGCCATCAGTTTGTTTGCCATTCTAAGTTGCATAAAAAAAACATTGAATCACGAATTGTGATTTCAGATATTACGAATATATTTTTCTGAAGATGTTCTCCTAAACTTCAATTTAGTTCCACTTCAGAGATGTGTGAATTATTTAGTTTATTGCTAATATTTATTTTATATGCATTAGTCACTGAGATGAGAAATGGACTTAAACTTTAATCACGTATGTTTCTTTACTTTCCTTACATCTGAGTGTATCAATCTGTTTTTACATATTGCGATTATACAAGTTTTTTTAATTCGCTTCACCTTTTACTTGGCCTTTTATCAGCGTTTACTTAATTGGACATTTTATATCTGTATAAGTATTTACACTTATTCTCAGTATCTTTCGTAATCCTTCTATTATTAATTCATTTATTTATTTTTATTATAAAACCAATTAATACATTTTATCCTTTTAATCTTTGTTATTTAATCGTGTTCCAATAAGTATTTCTACATAAGTTTTTAAACATAAATTGTTTAATTATCTTACCTTTTTTTTAAAAAAAAAGAAAATTTAATAAGGACGATTTCTAAACTTTATTGCCCCTTTTTCACTTTTCTTTTAAATTTAAACCTGTTAATTGCTCTGTTTGTGTCATAGATTGTTCAAATTGCTTTTTCTTCTATATATATATTTATGTGTTTGTGTATGTATATGACGTATTTATAGTATATATTTATAATATATGAGAATATTAAGTATTGCTTTATGTTTCCTCAATTCATGAATGGTTGACTGGTAGAGAACACCGTCCGATGTTAAGTGCACCATATGTAGATACATACAATTACACTGTGTATTGGAGTTTAAATGAATAAACCATATTTGAATTAAAGTTTCTTTTATACTGTGGTTGAACCATTAGGTCTCTATTTTCTGGATTAGCAACCACATCTGTTAAAAGAAGTCGGTTTGATTGAGAATTGACAAAAAAACCTCATTTAAGCAAATAAACATGTATGCATGTTGATGAAAATAATAACTTGGTCTGTCAATAACTACATTATGTTATATAAAATGGTATGTTTATTAAATAAATTTATATAATTTAAGTACTTAAGTACAGTCTTATAGAGTGATAAAAAAATAATAGAGTAATAATAAAAATAAATTACAGTACATAACGAACAGCTTTAAAATTAGTCTGTAATTGTATTGTATTGTATTTATTTAATAATATTAAACAGTTAAATATTTCAAAATAATGATGATAAAATTGTGATATAAATATAGTAAATAATTGTAAATTTCAATTCTTATTTATAGTATATATAAATATAAAATCCTACTTTTCAAGTACCTTAACCAAAAATGAAAAATGAAACGATTTCCTCTTTAGTAATATTTGATTTTAAAGCACAAAATGAAAAAATTATGAAACATGCATTAAGTAGTGAATACTTTGTTCTAGTTACGAACTACTTAATAATTAAAAAAAAAAAAACTAGTTATTTTGGAAGTTCATGATAATTAATTTCATATATCATATCAGCCTTTAATTGTCCACTGCTGAACGTAAGCCTCTCCCTTGGGGGGTTTGCCAGTAGTTGCCACACTTGGCAGGCGGATTGGCAACTGCAGTTAGGCTTTAGAGATGTTTTAAGAGGAACGCTGCTTTCCATCCCTCGCCCTCCCTTAGTCGCGTCTTACGACACCTACGGAAAAGGCCTGGCCTGTTCTATGCCGGACCAGACGGCCAATATGTTGCATATTATTTTCGAATTTCCTCTATATGATATACTTTTACGTTTAACTTTTAATATACGTACAATAATAATAGTATTGCACTTTGGTACTACAACGAAATTAAAAACATGACGTCATTAACGAGTAGCTGTTCTTTTACATACTGTGTATTAGTTGGCAATTTTTATCCATCATAAACATAATTGGGCTCGTATTCTCTGAAAATATTCTCCCAAAATTCTATTTCTTCTTTGTCCGGAGCTGTGCCGGTCGAGAGTACGTTGCCGATGTTCAGGTAATCTTGCTTCTCGATCGTGTACGGTGACCATTTTACGCCCAGGCTGCCATCGGGTGTTGGATTACTGGAAAAAACAATAATAAAGGTTTATTATTTTTATGTCATCATGCCTTTAACTCTCCACTGCTGAACATAAGCAGCTACCATGCGAGGTTTTGTCAGTAGTTGCCACGCTTGGCAGGCGGATTGGCAATGGTAGGCTTTAGAGAAATTTTAAGAGGGACGTTGCTGCCCATCCCTGGACCTCCCTTAGTCAGCTCTTACAACACCCACGGGAAAGAAAAGGGTGGCTTATTCTATGTCGTGACTAAACAGCCATTATTTTTATGTACTTCTTCTAAAAGGCAGAGATTTTCGTTTGTCCTTTTTTTTGTATGTTACGTACCTTTGTTTTTGTTTACAGTAATTTTGATAATTCGTAATCGATAAACAAAAAAAAAGAAATTTTTCGTGGGTGTCACGCTGTCTATTATATTTCTATTATATTCATTGTATAGTTTATGTTTATAGACAATGATTAAAGTGGACTATCTGCTTGTTTACATTCCAAGTTGCAAAAAAAATGTAATAAAGTCCAAACTATATTTAGATTTTATCATGTCAGAATAGTTCTAGGATTTTTTTTTAGGAAATAATAAGTAATTTGTAAACAAATCATACCCTTGCTTAGCGAAGTTAGTCCAAAGTCGTGTAACATTCTCGACGAGTTTGAATGTAGTCGAATTTTGATCAAGTGTTTGCCCAAATAGGCTAAATACGCCAGCCAGTGGAAATAAGTAAGGCAAGTCGTCAGCATGACTCACTACGGGTCTATCTTTCGATAGGTTTTCTCCTCCTAAAACTACACCAAGAATATTTCTTTCTGATTTGCATCCAAACTTGTACATATATATAGTATTTTTATTTGATCGAGCACAAATTTTAGCCCATTCAACTACTCCGAATACAAACATTTCCATTGAGTAGAATTTAATAATTTTCTCTGAGAGGTTTGACTTCGATTGAACATTGTCACCAAAATAATATTTCCTCAATTTCCTTCCAACATCAAGTTGTTTATTTAGTGGGTTATTTAGAAGAATAGGAGTTGGAACTAAAAAGTCCAGAATATTGAGATTGTCTTTAAATTCATCAATATTAAGTAGACCAAGTCTAATAACACCTTCGTCCTCGGTACATCCAACTATAACTTCTACACCGTCATGAATTCCATTACGAAGTACATCGTTTCTATTTCCATAGAAAAATCGTTCGTTATTACCAAATTGTTTTTCATCTACAATACTAAAAGTTATGTGGGCCAATTTTTTGGCACTTTCAACAGTTGTTATTGGTATATTTGCTTGAATAAGAGATTCTACTGGCAAAGATTTGAAGAATTCATATAACCCTTTAATGTTGTCTGATTTATATCCCAATCTTTTAGCTAAAACGAATGCCCTCTCACGTGGTTCCGTGGCAAGTGCCCATGAACACATAGTAGATCCACTTTGCGCTATAGCTCTCTTGAAAAGACCTTTCGACATTGGTGATATTAAGTGGTAGGTTACACTGGCGCCACCCGCACTTTCACCAAAAATAGTTATATTTTCAGGATCCCCACCAAAATTTTTAATATTATTTTTTACCCATCTGAGCGCTGCAACTTGGTCTTTCATGCCTGCGTTACCAGGAATTTCCTCTGTCTCAAGACTGAGGAAACCAAGGACTTCTAATCTGTAATTAAATGTAACGAGGATTACGCCCTGGCGTACAAGAAACTCTGGGCCGTAAAGGTCATCGTTTCCGCTACCAGACATGAATCCTCCGCCATGTATCCACACCATAACTGGCAGAGGTTTTGATGGTTTGATGTCAGGTGAGTAGACATTTAAATATAAGCAGTCCTCGCTGCCTGGTATTAATCTGCGCATTATCATATCGAATTGGTAGCATACAGGGCCAAAATTTTTGGCATCGCGAACGCCTTGCCACGGCTTCACCGGTTGAGGTGCCTGTGAAATATTAATGTGTTATTGAGAACTGATGGATTATTTACGCAGTCCATCGATATGTATACTTAATATAAATAGGAAAGACTTCATTTTTTGTTTGTAAAGGATAAACTCAAAAATTGGTCAATAGATTTTGAAAATTCTTTTACACAAAGAAAGCTATATTATCAGCTATACTATATTTTCGAAAATTCCATACAAAGATGGGTCGGATTGTTAACTTATTATATAATAATAATTATAAGTGTATAAGCTCTTATTTTTTTTTAATTAGTACATGAATTTGGTGTTGGTTTACCATGTTGTTGTTTACCATAGCTTTAATTTTCAAGATATCGTAAAAGGGGACTATATTAATGAAACAGAGTACACTATCGTAAGAAGGGGGAAAAACTTATAGCGTATTATACCAATAGTATATATTTGTTTTGTATACAGATTTGTTTGTTTGGATAGTTATAAAATTTTAATTTTGATGTGCAAAGTCACTGGTACGATCAAGGATAATATTCATAATGATTAAGTCGCTATAAGACACTAACACGAGAGTAAATCCTGTATATAGTAAAAATAATCATCGAAATCAGAAAAAAATAGGTTAATACAGACATTTCTTTTTTTGCAAATCACCTAAAAACACGTATTAACAGATAACGATAAAGGGCCTTAAACTTCACCTTAAACCTGAGATCTCCAACAGGTGGCGCCGCATACGGTATACCCTTGAAGGCATAATAATTCCCTCCATATGCATTATTAACCACATTACCCTCTAACACTCCGTCTTTTATGGTTACTTGAACCATTTTGTTAATTATTACTCTGACACTAAATGAACTACGTTGCGGTTCGAAAGTTTATTGATAACTAATTGAGAAACGGAATGTTGGGTTATTATATTTGGAAATAATGACTCGACGATATCAATTATCTATATCGTGTTTTTAGAGTTCCGCATCAAAATGATATAAAGGATAAAATGGTATTCTAGTTTGAGAATAAGGATGGGTAATATATAGCAATATACATATATCAGTCCAATAACGTATATATGTAAAAAACCTGTTTTCCAAAAAATAATATTGCATAACAAACTTTTAAGATATACGAAAATAGTTATCTGACCGATATCGAAAATGGGTGATGACTTTTTCTTTCATTAACCTCCAGAGTAACTCAATATATACATAGATATCGGATCGGTATCCATATCACCCATTTCTACTATATTTGAGAACCAAACTATGGGCCACGTTCAATGTAATGTATTCTGTGATATAATTCGTACTGTTCTTGTCTAGATGGGTCGTTTGTCCTTCTGTTTTTTTATGAAAGATGTTCGTTATTATCGATTAATACTTTATTTGGAGATTTTTTTTATACAACTTAGAATGGCGACACAAGCTGACGGCCCACCTGATGGAAAGTGGTAATCGTCGCCTATAGACATGAGCAGTACCATGGACTTAACAGAGTATAACTATTTCGCCTATGATACCCCCCATGCGTTGCCATTTCTGGGGACTCAGGTGTTATTCCTCTGTACCCAGTAAATTCACGTCATATCCCACCCTTCAAACCGAAACACAACCATGCAAACACAACTGCTTCACGGTTGAAACACGAATGGGACAGAGGTACCCAAGCAATCGACTTTTGTGCAAAGTCTCCCTCTGATAACCAAATCTCCAAATTCACTATCGAACTATTATCTGGCTGTTATCTAGTAAAAATATTTGAACAAAATATCTTTCTACATTATCACTATTAAGTGGTAACAACAAAGGTAACCAAGTTTCGATGAAATTGTCAAAAAAATACTAAATGGCCGGCCCCAAATGGAGTATTGCTGTCACTTATAGACGGGAGCACCTAGATACCAGCTTGAACCCTTCGACTTAGTGCAACGACGAGCTATGAGAATTGTCGATGATCCCAGGTTTGTAAGCGGTATCGAATCCTTAAGTCTTAGGAGAGATTTTGCCTCACTCTGCGTGTTCTACAGTTTGTACAATGGATTGTGCTCAGAGGAATATTCAATATGATGCTCAAGCCAATTTCTATTATCGTACGGCTCGTCATCGACAGGGAGTTCACCCTCATACCCTACAGCCTAAATGGTCGTGTACAACGCGTTTTCAGAGATGTTTTCTTCCACGTACATTCAGATTATAGAATGAGCTCCCTGCCGAGGTTTTCCTAAGATACTACAGCATAGGGTTCTTCAAAAAGGGGGCAAAGAGGTTTCTTCAGGGTCGGCAACGCGCGCGTAATACCTCTGGTATTGCAGGCGTTCATAGGCTACGGTAACTGCTTACCATCAGATGGGCCGTATGCTTGTTTACCACCTCAGTGGTATAAAAACTACTAAATGAAATTAGTCATCATCATCTTCTTGGCCTTAATCAAATTATTTGGGTTTGCCGTAAATGTTTCCTCTTCCATTCTTCTCTATTCGCAGACATTTCCGTATACACACCCATTCTGGACATATTAACTGTCAAAAAGACCATCTACGTCTTTTAGGTCTTCCTCTACCTTCACGGACATTTACATTCATACTTATATCTTTTCTAAAACATGCTCTTCGCCCATGCGTATCACGTATCCATATCGGAACAGACGGTTACTTTTTAACTTTTTTAACACAAGCCTTTGATATATTTAAACTTAATTTTGTTCATACTTGTTACATAACACATCCACCTAAACAATCCACCTAAGCATCTTAGCTCTATACAGTCTTCATCCGTCACATTTGCTGGCCAACACTTGGATTCATATAAGAGTGCAGGCATCATGCTCCTGTATCTGAAAGAAGAGTTTTATACTCGTAATGTTAAAGAATTCCCGAGGGAGACTTTGTACAAAATTAATTTGCTTGGACACCTCTGTCCCATTCGTGTTTCTACCGTGAAGCAGTTATGTTTGCATGGCTGTGTTTCGGTTTGAAGGGTGGGATATGGCAGTGAATTTACAGGGTACAGAGGAATAACACCTGAGTCCTCTGGAATGGCAACGCATGGGGGGTATCATGGGCGAAACAGTACACTCTGTTATGTCCATGGTACTGCTCATGTCTATAGGGGACGGTTACCACTTTCCATCAGGTGGGCCGTCAGCTTGTTTGCCATTCTAAGTTGCATAAAAAAAGACTATATACAATAAAACATTATCCCTATAAATTATTATTAGTATACTGTTTAGGGATATCGTTTCAAATATATACACAGTTAATCAGCTATACGTTTTAAGGCCGGCAACCGACTGACAAATCCCGATTGAGAGGTAGGTACACATTTACAAATGTCATACATTAATGATGTACCCACAAACATCACATCCCTCCACCAGTAGTATAAAATTATCTAAAACAATGAACAGCCTAAAATATCTCAATTACAATTTATAATTTATTTTTTTTTCGAGTCGCTCTAAGGGGTCTTTGACGCAAGGTGTGTTCATTATTATCAGTTGATGGCACATTGAGAGGCTGCACTGGATCCGAACCTAGAGGTATCGGACTCGACGCGCTGTTATCACTTAATATTCTCTCCTCCCCACCAGCTCGCTCCTCTCCCAATTTGGACATCATACTATTATGGATGTTCTCCGGTAATGATTGAAATGAAGAATCGCTGTTTTGATCTTGTTGCTCGTATATGAAATCTTCTTGGCCCTCTGTGCTCTTCTCATATTCTTGTTCAAAGCTTCCAATAATGCTTACATCATCAACCTCATAAGTTTTATCCGAGCCTCTATAAGCTAAAATTTGATCCACATGTTTCTTTACATACTGTTTACTTCCCGGTAATAACACGTTGTACATCCTAGAACCGATTTCCTTAGATATGATCCCAAATTGCCAAATATGTTTGTTACCATTATTATAATACTGCTTAACTAAAACTTTATCTCCTTTTTTGAAATCAGTTCTGCGATGTCCTCCGTATTGTTTACTCTGTAAGGTCTGTTTATTTTTAACATTAGAATTGGCTGTAGCTGATACTGACTCTGTTAAATTATTTGTCCTATCCGCATTTGGCACGTGCAGCAGGAGGTCGAGTCTACAACGTAAAGACCGACCCAACAACAACTGGGCTGGAGAAAAACCGGTAGTACAATGACTACTATTTCTATAATCAAATAAAAATTTATTCAATTGTTGTAATATAGTTTTCTGTGTTTTGTTTTCTTGTAATATAATTTTTAAAGCCTTTTTTATAGTTTTTACACTGTTTTCTGCTTGCCCATTTGATTGTGGATGATAGGGTGCGATAGTTAAATGTTGTATTCCATTTTTGTTACAGAACTCATCAAATTGATTTGAACAGAAATTAGGAGCATTGTCAGTAATTATAGTTTTCACCAACCCAAACCTACTAAACAGTTCACATATTTTAGAAATAATCATTTCAGTAGTAGTGGTCGTCATTAAAAAACATTCTAACCATTTAGAGTGTGCGTCTATTACTACCATGAAATATTTTCCATCTATATACAACATATCTAGATGTATACGTTCCCATGGCTGCGAAGGGTACGGCCACGGCGCGAGCGGAGCGCGCGGTGGCGCGTTTCGAAGCGCGCCGCATATACTACAAGAGCCGATTTTTTGCTCAATATTCTTATCTATTTGAGGCCACCACATACGACTCCGAGCTTCCGTTTTCGTTTTAACAACTCCGAAATGTGAATTGTGCAATTCGTTTAATAACTGTTCCCTGAAAATAGCCGGAATAACTAATTTATGGCCACGCATTAAACAGTTATTCTCAACTGATAGTTCTAATCTACAGTTATAGTAAGGCCTTAATTCTGGATCGGTTATCTTGGTAGGCCACCCTTTTTCGATGTAACCCATTACTTTTTTAATTAATTTATCGCTAGCTGTAGCTTTTTTAATATCTGTTATAGTCACTGGTTTCAAAATTGTATCCGTGACAAAATTTATATATAAAGCTTGGTCCTCTACATTATTACTGGAATTCTGATCCGGTAATACCGATCTAGACAGGTAATCGGCAACATTTTGATCGCTTTTAATGTATTCTATGTTAAAATTGTAGGCCGATAAAAATAAGGCATACCTTTGTAATCTATTGGCCGCCATTTCCGGTACCCCTTTCTTACTTCCAAAAATTGATAAAAGTGGCCTGTGGTCTGTGCGAAGCGTAAATGGAATCATACGACCGTACAAATAGTAGTGAAACTTTTTTATAGCAAAGACAATAGCAGCCGCTTCCTTCTGGATCTGTGCGTAATTACGTTCTGCTTTGGAAAGTGACCTAGACGCATAAGCAACGACCCGCTCGCGTCCGTCGCTTTGCCGCTGGGCCAGCACAGCGCCCAGTCCTGCTGGACCGGCATCACATGTCACCACAGTGGCTAACACTGGATCGTAATGCGCCAGCACCCGTTCCGATGCCAATTGCTTTTTAATCATATTAAATGTCTCGTCATGTATCGCATCCCATCCTCGTCGCCAAAATATACTGTTTAGGGATATCGTTTCAAATATATACACAGTTAATCAGCTATACGTTTTAAGGCCGGCAACCGACTGACAAATCCCGATTGAGAGGTAGGTACACATTTACAAATGTCATACATTAATGATGTACCCACAAACATCACAATTAGTTTTAGATAATTAACTATTATCTAAAACGTGTTCGTAATTAAGATTGTTTTTATGACATTGCTAGATAAAATTGTATTATATACCTATATTTTTTTTAAGTAAATCATAACTGTCACGTAATCATTTAACTAATCTTTTTGCATTAAATTGCATACAATGATAAATGCATCCGATAATAATGACACTGATTTAGATAGTTAACGACAACAATACGACAACATAACCTTCAAGAA